GGGGCGGCTATCCGGCGCCCGCATCGGCCCGCGCGCCGCCCCCCTAATTGATGTGTCGTCTTTGTTTTGCTTAATTCCAGCATGGTTTGGCCATTAAAGCGTCCCGGGCGCCCTATCGGGGGCCCATCGCCCGTAAATGATGACACGCGGCCAAGACAAATGACGCGCGCCGCGCCGCCGCCTGACAGCGACAAGGTATTGTCCGGGCCGCGGGCCCGCCGCCGCCGCCTCCGGGCTCCTCCGTCTGACGTCACCGCCGCCGCCCCCAGGGACCGGTCGGGGGGCGGGCCCGGGGCCCAGCCGGCCCCTGCCCGCCGGGGGTTCGGGAACAACTCGATGCTGGTAGTATCGAGGCGGCTTTTATCTGCATCCTTCTTCTCAACATTGTGTGTGAAGTCACAGTGGTTTTGGAAAGAAATTTCTAATGTAAGCCTTGAGGAACCTTGGGATTATCATTTTACTACCTCCAATGATACATTGAGACATGTTGCAGAATTGATGTATTCCTTACGTTTGAGAATGCCTTGAAAAGTATTAGGTAGAGAATTGCAGATGAATATCACAAGGTGGCATTCATTCCGCACACGTTTTCAAACAATTATCACAAACTGAGTATGCTTAACAGCTTTCAACGCCAGAGTGTGTAATAAATGTAAAAGGCGCTTACATTATCATTAACCTCTATCTCCTATCGTAATGACCATTCATATATTTCAGTTTAAAAGATAGATGATTACATAGTCTTTCCTTTAAATGTCTTTACTTAATTGCTGAAAGACATTCATCATTTGAACATGAATACATTGAAACAAACCGTGAGCATTGTCTGTTAATTAACGTTAATTAAAGAAAGGTCAAAGGAATTCAATTGATGAGAAACATGAGGAAATAGCGAGTAATTTCTGAAAAATAATTAACAACATTCAACAAAGAAAATAAAATGAATTATTAATACAAATAATATTAAACATCATAAATATGGCTTCGCAAAGGTCATGATATAAAGCCAGAGGGTATGATTTATAATTCCAAAAATTTTCTGAAAGTTTCACGAGCACAGTCATACTTATTAATAAAGGGCTACAGATTGCACCTCATCCATATCCCAGGACCGAGCGATGCTCATATTTCTCATTCACCTTTCTTCTTTGAGCTATAAGCTTCCGAGAATCCGATTATCAGAGGAAGCAAATTCAGAAATTCCGTAGTATCTCAACACCGAGGATTGAGAGATCGATTCCCAACTTGGACACTGTGATTTGTAGTCCCGTGTAAAAGTGCGACAACATGTAGCCTAAGGCACTAATAGTCAGCAAGCAGATGTAAATAAATCCATCTCGGTTGAGTTCCAGTAGCTGAAGTAATACACGTGTACATCGTGAATATACGTAAAATACTTCCTAATGGAAGGGGTTATTTCTGTAATTTTTTTGAGCCAGAAGAAAAAGAAATTTTTTTTCGAAAACTACATTTGAATGTTTGTGTGTATGTATGTAGCAGCTAATGTCCGAAACTGGCTAATTTACGAATTAGCTTGTCAATATTCACATTACCGAAAATGAGGGAATAAAGACAAAAGTAGAATAAGGTTTGAAGCTTATTTCGTACGTAATTACGGGTTGACATTAACCCACACGAGGTTTCTAGGGAAAGTTAAGAAGTACGTTACAGAAGGGGCAGAGGTGCGATAAACAGCGACGACTATTTGGAAAGCTTCTAAGCAACTGAAAGACGAGGTATGTAGTTTCGAGTCCCACTGGCTTAGTCGCGAATGTATATTTACATGATACCACCTAATTTAATCAAATCTCATTTGTCTCTTAGTTGATCATCCTTTCGCATTTTGATTTGGCAACGAGGCATCATCTTTCGGTCTTCTCAATTTTCAGAAAACAACTCGAGTCTGCGCAATATATACTTTCTAATTCATTTTTCTTGTCAGCATACACAACGCTTCATTCTCGCGAACAATCATTATATTTTAGCCAGCACTCTTTGGCTAATGTCAACATTACCTGGCCGAAGTTTGAAATAATCCATACATCGCCACTCATACAGCTTCATCTATGTCATCACGCTAATAAATGAAGTCTCTGATCTGGGCTGTCTGGGTGATCTGGGCTGTCTGTTATAATCCGCGCCTCAATATAAACAAGAGCGCCCTACATCCTTGCGCAGTACAGCCCCTGAAGAGGACCGCGACATGTCGGTCGAAACGTCGGCACATTAGCCATCGACGTGGCGTCACCCGGACAGCCCAGATCATGACTCTGGCCGCGGAAGCCTACGACATCAAATGAAGTCTCTACCTCACTTACAGGCTTCTTCTAATTTTAGCCATATGTCAGTCTACAAAGCTAAAGGATACACTTATTGCTGATTTCTAAACATGAACATGCACATGCTTGTGCAACGTTTGGATCGTAATGTTTCTGGAAGGTTAGTAATCCCAAGATTGTGTTTGGATATGTGAAATGGGGATTTTAATTTTATTGCCCCCCGTGTTCTTCAATTGATAGTTGGAGGAAACATGCTTTATAGGTTAACAGCTAAAAATAAAAAGTCGTAAGAATACTTTATACTTATTTACAAAAGAATCCATTTACAATCAACTATTTTAACCAGGGGCACAAATACTGGCTTTTAACATGGTATTAAAATGTTTAAGAGCGGTACGCAAGACCCACACGTCAGTTATAACCGCCGGCAAAACACGCAGTTCAACAAAACGTGCGAATCGGTACCGCAGGAACTGTTGCGCCGACGACTCTCGCTCGTTCTGTACAGGCAACGGGAACCGAGTCGGTTATAGAGTCACATATCGTCTCATTGGGGCCGTTGGCAGCCGCGTCAGTCGTAGCCGCCGTCGAACCTGGCGGGCATGGGCGCGCCGCAGGGGCTGCCGCCGCCCTGCGACCGCTTCTGCGCCTTGCGCTGGCGCGCCAGGCGGCGCGAGAAGTCGGTGCACACGAACTGCTGGTACACGTGCGCCGCCTCGCGGCACGCCAGCACGCCGCCGCGCCCGCGCCGGTCCACCTCCTCGCCCGCGTGCGCCGCGTAGCACTCGCGCAGCTTCGCGGCGAACGGCAGCCTCGGCTCCGGCGGCTCCACCTGCGCCCCAGCGTTGGACTCCCACCCGCGACGACCAGCTCTACCACTCTACTGCCCCTCACACGTTGGAATCTCCACTCCCAGGGACGCTCGAGCCTAACCCACCCACGATGACCAGCTCTACCACTCTACTGCCCCTCACACGTTGGAATCTCCACTCCCAGGGATGCTTAAGCGTAACCCACCCCCGACGACCAGCTCTATCACTCTACTGCCCCTCACACGTTGAAATCTCCGCTCCCAAGGATGCTCAAGCCTAACCCACTCACGACGACCAGCTCTACCACTCTACTGCCCCTCACACATTGGAATCTCCACTCCCAGGGATGCTCGAGCCTAACCCACCCACGACGACCAGCTCTACACTCTACTACCCCTGCAACACGTTGGATATCTCGCTCCCAGGGAGCTCGAGCCTAAACCCACCGCCACGACTGACAGCTTTACCACTCTACTGGCCCCTCACACGTTGGGACATCTCCGCTCCAGGGACGCTCAGCCCGACCACCCAGGCGCGACGACCAGCTCTATCACTCTACTGCCCTCACACGTTGGATCTCCGCTCCCAGGGCGAACTCGAGCCTAAACCCACCCACGACGACCAGCTGCTACCACTTATGGCCCCTCACACGTTGGATCTCCGCTCCAGGGAGCATGCGAAGCCCAAACAGCCACGCGGCACGACGAATGCTTCTAACCGTCTAAATACTGCCCCTCACCACCCGTTTGGAATCTACCGCGTCCTAGGGAAAACTCGACCTAACCTACCACACAGACTTCATGCATTCTACCGTCATACTACTATCTGCCCACTCCTTACCGTTTGGAATCCTCCAGCTCCCAGGGATGCTCAAGACTAAACCACTCCATGACGAATAGCTCTACCACTGTTTTAACGCTATCTGCCTGCCTCCCACCCGTTGGAATCCCCAGTTCTAGGAATCTTCCACCTCCTAACCTATCCACGACTCTGATATCTACCGCTCTAATAACCTATCCTGCCTACCCCTTACCCGTTGGAATCGGTCCGCTCTTAGGGATGCTCAAGCTTCAAACCTCACTCATGCGAATAGCTCTACCCACTGTTTAACCCTATCTGCGGGTGCCTCCCACCCGTTTGGAATCCCCAGTCCCAAGGAAATATTCACTCCCTAACCTATCCACGACTCTGGATATCTACCGGCTTCTATAACCTATCTGGCCTACCCTTTACGCCGGTGGAATCTCCGCTCTCCTAGGCGAATGCTCCAAGCCTAAACCACTCGATGACGAATAGCTTACCAACTGTTTTACCTATCTGCCTGCCTCACCAAACCGTTGGAAATCCCCAGTCCCTAGGAATATTCACTCCCTAACCTATCCACGACTCTGATACTACCGCTCTATAACCTATCTGCCTACCCCTTACCGCGTTGGAATCTCCGCTCCCAGGATGCTCAAACAGCCCTAAACCACTCATGACGAATAGCTCTAATATTCAACACTCTATCCAACATATCTACGCTTCCCAGATCAAGTCGACAATCGCCGCTCTAGGAGTTATCACTTCCTAACGATGTACTCGGAGCGAATAGCTCTAATATATACTACTCTATAACCTATCTACCTCCACACCCGGAATAACCGCTGCTAAGAAATTCACTTCCTAACCTATCCTTGACTGTGGATATCTACCCGCTCTAAACTATCTGCATACCCCTTACAACGTTGGAAATCTCCGATCACAGGGGATGCTTCAATCCTAACCTAGCCACGAAGAAATAGCTTCTTAACCACTCTATAATAATCTGCCTGATCCCACCCGTTTGAAATCTCCGTCAGCTAGAAATATTCACTCCCTAACCTATCCACGACCGAATAGCTCTTAATCTAACCACTCTAATAACCTAACTACCCTGATCCGACGCGTTCGAATAACCGACTCAGGCACTCCCTAACCTACCAAGCTACGAAATCATTTTTCTCTAATATTCTATCACTTAACCACAACTATACCTCTAAAATTTAAACAAACCAGTGCGTTCATTACGAGGGCGCTTTATTTTCATCTTCCGATCGAGTGTTAAGGCCTTTTTTTGGTGCAGGTTCCAGTGCAGATTCTTATAAAGAAACTGTACAGAGATTTCAAGGTCCAAACCTGGAAGAAGTCAAAATAACCCACCCCTGACCGGCGCAAGTTGCCATTCGCCGCTCGGGGAAAACCTCCCACTCTAACCTACACTCTATGAATAATTTAATTCACTTAATATGTTCAACTTAACCACCTGCCTACCTACCCCACACGTTTTACACCAACACGTTAAATACGAGAGCCTATTTCCATCCTTTGATCAGTTTTAAGGCCTTTTTTTACGTACAGTTTTCATGCAGATTCTCATATAAAACTTTACGGCTCAAGATCCCAAACTAGCAAGTGTAAAATCCAAAAGTCATGTTTAACGTCTGCAGCGTTTTCCTATAGCTAGTCGCGAGTTCGCCCGCGCAGGGCTCTGCTGGCCCAGAACTTGCATCGCCGGAATTGCGCTCCCGAGTACATTCATTCACGACTTTTGTTACGTGCGGTTCTGAACTACTTTATTCATACTTCTTTAAGTTCTAAATGAAACATTGGAGAAAAATAGAAAGACTGTCATCCGCAATACAACACTGTTGTGGGAACTGCGAAGACTTTTAGAAGCGGCGGCAGAACGCTCTGATGGGGAAGCTTGGCTGCAGAAGTGAGATTCAGTAACGCTCATATTGGCAAAGAGGCAGTAAAATAATCAACGCCGGTAAACCTGAAAAACTCGATTACGCCACGCCAATACACAAACGCACCTACCCTAACCCCAAAATTGAAAGGGATGGACGATTTCCGCTGAAAACAAATCCGTTAGTGAACGAGTCTGTCGCTATAAGCGGTAGAGTAAAACTACGTTTTTCTGTATGAAACAATCGAACATACTCAAAAGTTTTCCTTCAGAAATCGTGCTGTCTGTTTGCCCGCTTCAATCTGCACGGAAAACTGTACGAGTAAAAGAGCCTTTAAACTGTTTTGTCAAAGGGAGGATTTAGGGATGTCCCAGTGCACAATTTTCACCTTTTTTTTAACAGCACATACCTCTACCAATACTAAACCATAACGTCAATTTAAATGAACTGTGGGTTGTGAACAAGGCTGATTCGTTTAATGCTCCTCAAGAGCTATTTGCCTTCGTCAAGAGAAGGAAAGAGCGCAGCAAAAATGACAATAGAATGAGCCGAGTAGTCGAATGTAAATCTTCCAATCAAGTAAGGGATGCTGCCCTTTTGTAAGATGTCCTCTCTCATGACTGACGCAAGCCTTCATCGTGCTGCTGCAACAAACAACATTTGGGGTACATGCTCGTGCTGATTACTCAGCGTAAAACCCTACTTAATGGCGAAGTAATTTTCATCTCTTCTTGAATTGAATATTGCTAGGAGGATAATAAGCATTCAGACGGCAATGAGGAAACTTCAAGCACTTCAGGGCCTCTTGCATGCAGTGGCGGCAATGTTTTGGACGAAGAGAGAATCGGTCGAAAGGTTAGAAAAATGCCTGAATAGTCCAAGGCGATTAAGTCTTAAAATTAATCATACTTGTACATAAATTTTTTAATTTATAAATTCATTTTATCTTTAATATTGTAATTTTTTGTTATTGTCCATCAGAAGGTTTTTAAAAAATACTTATGTATATGCAACGTTAAATGAAGGCCACTGCGCTTGTTCCATGGTAGCTGTTGTATGCCACGACTCCAGATTTTGATTCCGAATGGGGGAAATTAAACAAGATTTTCACTCCCAGTTCCCCAGCGCGCCAGTTCATAATAGCTGGTTTAATAATGGAAAAGCTTTTCGCACGTAGACAACGTGGACGACTTGGCATGCCATAGGTCTCCCGAGTCCATAGCCCGTTAGGCTGGTGCGCCATGACATGGCCATTGGTCTGACAAAGCTTGTAGAGCTCAGAGCTGCTCAAGAATAAGTACAAAATAAATGCACATTTGTCGTGTCACCAACTTCTTAACTCGTGAATTCTTAATACGTTGGATTTAACACTTAAAATTTTGGATGTTTTTCCAGCAGGATTGGGACGAATGTGGTTAGGCAACATATTCTCGGTATTGTCGATCAACTTCCGCGCAAAGATCGTGCGTTTGCAAAGCCAGAATGCAGTAAATTTCTATTACGATTTTCGTTCTAGGGTTTCAAGTAAACTTGAAAAGATTTGAGAAACACCAATGATCCTTTTCAATGCTTGGATGGTGAACCCAAATTTATACAGCATCATTTGAATTCAGAGTTATCGAAATAGAAGAACAAAGAGCGATGTTATACCGGGAGGGAAGTAATATGAAATCAGCTGCTCCTGGGTCGTAGTCGAATAGAAAATAGTATCCACGGAGTTACAAAATAAAAATCGAAAAACAATAAAACAATGCAACGTTTATGTAAAGTCAAATACTAATTCATCTGAATCCATCGTCTTGTCGACAAACTCTTGCCGACATGTTAACAAGTGTATTCTTGTAACTTCCAACATTTTTACAATTATGTTGCAATACTATATATGTATGTTTACATATAAGAATGTTGGTGTCATATATTAAGATAGCGTAAGGAGACATTTTTAGATCGGCGCGAATTGTCAGAGACAAATACTACGTTCAACTGGGGTGTTCAGTCCTCGGGAAATATATTTTTTCTTACTACGATATACGTTTTGAGACTGTCGGGCTGCCTTGCGAGACCGTTCAGTTTGAGGTCCCCCGTTCTCTCTCACAGCCTACCTTGACCCTAATTGTTCATTTCCAAAACAAAGTCAATATTCTGATTTAAAAGTTTCGTTTATTTGGTACAAGACTGACAATTTTGATTCTGTTAATGTTCGGAACAATTGGAGCAAGAACTGCTTTGCAGTAAATGGACATTAAAAGCGACTTCATCAATGATGATGAATCATGATTACAGCGACGGACCAGCAAATGCTTCATCAA